GGAAGGCTGAGGCAGAAGGATCGCCGGAACCCAGCAGGTCGAGGCTGCGGTGGCCGGGAGCAGCCACTGCACTCTAGTCTGGATGACAGAGTGAGACTCCAACTCAAAAAAAAGAAAAAAAAAAAAATCAGCTGGCATATGTTGAAAGAGAATGTGAAGTGCTTTCACAGTGATATACACACTGGATAATAAATGATGTATTTTAATGTGGAAGGAAGAAAATGAGATTGCAAATAGAAAAACACCAGGTGGAAGATATCAAATGTATTACTATTGCACAACATGTATCAATGAACCTGCAATGCATATCTCAGACATTAGCATATCTTAGAAAAATATAAGATTGAAAATGTTGATGTTTTTGTCATAAATAAGTTCTTCAGTGTCCCAATTTCCATTATAAGCCAAATATTCCAATAAAATTATTGGTTCCAACACTATAGTATTTAATATGAAGTGATTTTTTTTGTTTGTTTGCATAAAAAAGTGTGATCGAGTTGCTGGTACGTTATCCATGAGATGACTCCAAGTGCAAAGGGTTAATTAATCTAATTGTATGTAGCTAATGGCTACCATATTGGATGGCACAGGTTTGAAGGGCTTGAAGGGCCTCTGCTTCTTATATCAGTTTGTATAAATTTCTATGGCATTTCTGATGTGCTTGAGCTTTATTCAGTAAAGGCAATCCATTATTGCTCTCACCTTGTCACACTATAGTTGAGATTAGGGTAGCCTTTAATTAGAAGTTTTCTGTGACATTGTTTCACCTCTTATAGGTTTGACACCTGTGATTTTTTTATTAATAACCTCATATCTTGATCTAGAGACATTTAACTGTACTAAATGTTTAATAAGCACCAAAGTAGATAATGCTAATTGTTTTATGTAAAGCTCTCTACCAAGGTACTATTATTATTACCTATATAACATATGAGGAAACTTGAGACTCAGGTTAGATAATTTTATTTTTTATTTTATTTTATTTATTTATTTTTTGAGTTGGAGTCTCACTCTGTCACCCAGACTGGAGTGCCGTGGCTGCTCCCGACCATTGCAGCCTCGACCTGCTGGGCTCTGGCGATCCTTTCGCCTCAGCCTTCCATGTAGCTGGAACTACAGGCGCGCGCTACCACGCCCAGCTAATTTTTTGATTTTTATTGTAGAGATGCGGTCTCGCCAAGTTGCCCAGGTGGGTCTCGAACCTGCGGGCTCAGGCAATCCACTCACCTCAGCCTCCCAAAGGCACAGGAATACAGGCTGAGCCACCGAGCCTGGCTGTCCATGCCTTTTAAATTATTACCTTATACTGCCATTTTTTTTTTTTTTTAGTTGGAATCTCACTCTGCC